GTGCCATTAGAAGCTACGTATTGTGAGCAATTCAATCTAGTATCCAGAGCATTTAGATTGAGGACATATTCACCTATTATCTATGGATTATTACTAAGACTTACGTGCTAATGGTGTCAGTATAGATCATAGAGAACAAACTCAATTATTGAGATCTAGAACATGATAACTTCCTAATTCCCACAGTATTAGGGAGCTATCTACCAAAAGGCTGAAAGATCTAAATTGGTCCTTAAGCCAAATGTACTAATACTAAGGAACAATTACTTAGTATTAGTAAATTTTGCCCCTACTCGCTATACCGCAAGTATATGTTTATGGGGTATGGGGTATGGGGTATATGGGGTATGTTTATTAAACAGTGAGCAGCCTGTGGCTCCAAACTGTAAAAAAAAAATTCCACCCCCGGCCTCAATCCCTAAGCGGCGGTGGGGGCCCTAAAGAAGAATAAGGGGGGACCTATTGTCCTCTCCCCGTCCCCCACCCATGGGTGGTGGGTGGGGGCCCTAAATACCAATAAAGGGGGGGACCCACTTAGGGCCCCCACTCACCGCTCATGGGTGGGGGCCGGGAGGGAGACCAATAGGGATAGGGTGATCTCCAATCAGGCCGGATTAGTGGGAGAACGGTATACCTGGGAAAAGGGTTACTGTACCTATTGTCCTCCCCCCTGGCCCCCACCCATGAGCGGTGGCCCTAAATACCAATAAGAGGGGGACCCACTTAAGGCCCCCACCCGCCGCTCATGGGTGGGGGCCGGGAGGGAGGACAATAGGTCCCCCCCCTTATTCTTCCTTAGGGCCCCCACCCGCCGTGAGGGATAGGGATAGGGTGATCTCCGACCAGGCCGGATTAGTGGGAGAACGGTACACCTGGGAAAAAAGGTTACTGTACCTCATTTCTGAAAGGGTAGTGGGGGATCTGTGAATGTGACTACTAGACAGCTAGTGGTCCCCCAGAAATATAGACAGGAACTTCTTCGGATCGCTCACGACATCCCCTTGTCTGGGCATCTGGGGATGACTCGCACCCGATACCGCTTGACCCACGCCTTTTTCTGGCCGGGTATATCCAAGGACGTGCGGCAGTACTGCCAGACATGTGACATCTGTCAGCGAGTAGGCAAGAGGGGTGACCACCACAAGGCCAAATTATGCCCACTGCCCATCATAGACGAACCATTTAGTAGAGTGGCCGTAGATATAGTAGGGCCCTTACCAAAACCCAGTCCCCCCGGCAAGAGATATATCTTGACCATAGTAGACTACAGTGGCTGAGGCCTTAATGAAAGAATTCACCCGAGTGGGGTTCCCCCAGGAGATCATATCGGATAGGGGTATGCAGTTCACGGCCGAGGTGACCCACCAACTATGGAGGGAACATATGAGGAAGGAAATTGAGTAAATGTTGCAGCTAGGGGTTATTGAACATTCCGATAGCCCCTGGGCATCGCCGGTAGTGCTGGTACCCAAGAAGGACGGCACAACACGCTTTTGTGTAGACTACCGGAGGCTAAATGACAAAACAGTGTCTGATGCCTACCCGATGCCCCGGATAGACGAGCTGCTAGACAAAATGTCACGAGGCCAGTACCTTACTACAATAGATTATGCAAAGGGTACTGGCAGATTCCACTAGCCGAGGATGCCATCCCCAAGTCGGCGTTTGTCACCCCGTTTGACTTGTATCAGTTTCGCGTCATGCCATACGGGATGAAAAATGCTCCGGCTACCTTTCAACGGATGGCGGATCGGCTACTGGATGGGTGTCAGGAGTATGCATGTGCATACCTGGATGATATCGCCATCTATAGCCAGACCTGGTCAGACCATCTGCGACATATTGGAGCAGTCATTGACCATATCGGAGAGGCAGGGTTGACACTAAAGCCCAGCAAGTGTCACATAGGGATGGCAGAGGTACAGTACCTGGGGCACCGGGTAGGGAGCGGACAGCAAAATCCTGAACCAGCAAAAATTGAAGAAGTAGCTAAGTGGCCTACCTACCGAAAATTTGTACGCAATTATAGTGCCCAGGCCAAACCCCTGACTGACTTGACCCGCAAAAACCATCCTCGACAGGTCATCTGGGCCCCAGAGTGTGATCAGGCGTTCCAACAACTCAAGACTGCTTTAACCAATGCACCTGTACTTGCTGCTCCTGATCCAACTAAACGATTTCTTGTCCACACAGATGCTTCAATGTTTGGATTGGGATCACTGCTGAGCCAAGTTGGAGCAGATGGCGGAGAACATTCCGTAGCTTACTTAAGCCGAAAGTTATTACCCCGTGAAGTGAGCTACGCCGCTATTGAGAAAGAATGCCTGGCCGTAGTTTGGACCCTCAAAAAGTTGCAACCTTATTTGGCACAACTATATATATACTCCAACCAAACAGCCATGTGTGGGTGAACTAGCTCCTGGACACACTACACCAAATTAAAGTGTTACTTCCATGTTCTATACTTTTTAGACAGGTATTGGGTGAACTCCTGTCTTTGTCCAGTTTTGAACAACCCACCACAAGTCAGACTCCCTCACCCCTGCGTGTTGCATTAGGCACACCTGAATCTGCATATTTTTCCCTGATTCCCTATGGGCTACAGGGAAGACATATACAGGCAGACTCTCTGTGCCCACAGTCAAAGTGAATCTCCTGCCCGGAACCACCCCTCCCTATCAAAAACAATACCCGCTAAGCCCAGCACAGGAAGATGCTATTTCCCAATCTATGCAAGAGTTACTGCTCCCAACCAACACACCTTGTTGTCACAAATACCACCTTCCTCTAAGGTATTTACTGTTATTGACTTGGCAAATGGATTTTTCAGTGTCCCCCTGGCTCCCGACAGTCAGTAGTTATTTGCATTTACACGTAAACACAAGCAGTACACTTGGACAGTATTGCCACAGGGCGCACAAAACTCACCCACTATGTACAGCATGGCTTTGGTCCAGATTCTTGAAGAGTGGCAAAGGCCAAATAACGTAATTTTATTGCAGTATATCGATGACCTACTCCTATGTTGCGATAATATGGAATCTTGTATTGTAAACACTCTTTCCTTGCTAAAATTCCTAGAAAAAGCAGGCTGTAAAGCGACAAAAACGAAACTGCAAGCATGTGTAGAGAAAGTTATTTTCCTAGGACATTGCATTTCCCAGGGCATAAAACATCTCACGGAAAGTAGAAAGACTGCAGTTCAAAATATTAGACCCCCCGCAGTTTAGCCCAGGTTCGTACTTTCCTTAGTTTGATTTCTTACAGCTGTCCTTGGCTGCGTTCCGTAGCTATCTACATGCAACCACTGTATGATTGTCTTGCCAACGAAAACAAACCATTTAAATTAACCCATGCGGCAGAAAATGCCTTCTATACCCTTAAGATACTGGTAACGTCAGCTCCAGCACTGGGTCTCCCAGATTACAGAAATAATTTTAACCTGTTCTGTACTGAGCAATCAGGTTATGCTACATCTGTCCTTACACAGGATCATGGTGGTAAACAAAGACCAATAGCATACTACTCCGCCAGATTGGACCCTGTTGCCAGGGGTGCCCCCTCATGTGTTAGGGCAGTGGCGGCTGTTACTGCCCTCCTGGACAAAGCCACTGATATTGTCTTAGATAACCCGGTGACAATATACACACCGCATGATATAAACAGCATACTGTCACAAGTTCAACCAAAACACATACATACTGCAAGGCATCTCAGAATGCAATGTGCCTTGCTTATGCCACCTAATGTTACTCTTAAAAGGTGTATGGTGTTAAATCCATCTACATTGCTTCCCCTGGATTTAAAAGAGGGGAGTGGGGATAGTGGGAATGGTACTTGTACTTCTGATCTTTTTGTAAATTCACTTTCACCAGATGAGTTAGCTGATGCCCAGTTACCCCATGATTGTGCAGCACTAATGGCACAAGAAACAGCAGGTTTTTTGCATGTAATTGATTCTCCATTATCTAATGCAGATTTTGAGTTTTTTTGTAGATGGTTCCAGATATGCTGATGAGAAGGGTAATTTCCACACTGGATATGCTGTAGTCTCTGCACATGAGGTAATAAAAGCTGAACCACTCGCTCCTCACTGCTCTGCACAGGAGGCAGAGCTGAAGGCACTCGCTGAAGCGTGTAAAATGGCTTCTGGTAAGACTGCCAATATTTATACAGACTCTCGCTATGCTTTTGGTATAGCCCATGATTTTGGCCCTATATGGCAGGCTCGTGATTTTCTCACCTCAGCAGGAACTCCAATCAAGAACTCTGAAGCCATGAGTGCACTTATGGACGCTATTCTGCTACCCACTCAAGTAGGCATCATCAAGGTGGCAGCTCACGTGAAGATCACAGATGAAGTCTCAAGAGGAAACCACAAAGCAGACGAAGCTGCCAAGCAAGCAGCAATCCAAGTTCATCCCTCTACAGGTAATACCTTCCTACAAGTTGTTCTTACAGATGACGCCATTGACTACAATATACTGTTGAGCTTACAAAGACAGGCAAGCAAGGAAGAACATGACCTCTGGAGGAAACAAGATGCAGAACCTGATGATGACAGAATGTGGAGGAAAGGTAAAAGACTGTGTTTGCCACGAGTGTTGTACCCCATGATGGCCCAGATGGCCCATGGACTTACACATCTATCCAAGATGCACATTGTAAAGGATTTCCTTATGTTTACCTGTACCCATTCGGTTAATTCCTCTCCCTGCTAGTTAAGTGACTGTAAAGTATTCGTTGTTATTCCTGTGTTCGGGACATTTATTCGTTCTACCGAATGAAGACCACCCTGGGTAGCAATCAGAACTTAAAACACCAAGTAACCACGAAAACAGCAAGGTAATTGAGTGCCTCTGGGTGGCTGCCATTCGGCATATGAACACGTGGCGAGAACAAAGGATGGCAGCCATCTTAGATC